ATGCAGGCAGGGAAGGCAGGGATGCAGGCAGGGATGCAGGGAGGGAAGACAGGAGTTAATTTGGGGATTAATAATCCAAGGAAACAAGTCATTTCCCTGATTCCATTCTGGCCTCCGCTGTGGCTTCAAAAGCCCGAATTTGGTGAAATGTGCAATTTGATGATTCCCTGGGATTTGTTTGATCCTGTGGCTCCGGAGCTGCCCTGATTAGGGAGCTTTGTGTGATCCGCCCTGGCCGTGCCGGGAGCAGATGGCGGCGGGGCCTGAGCGGAGCCAATTACGCCCGGAGAGGGAAGACCTGGAGCTTCCCAGGGCCAGGAAGGAATCAGTTTGTTGGTTTTGTTTTTGTTTTTTCAATTGTTTTTTTTTTTTTCAATGGGATAATTGAGAAAAAATGTTTTTTTGGGGGAGTTTGAACCTGGATTCTCCAGCCAGGGCAGGGCAGGGCAGGGCAAGGCAGGCTCCAGCACCGGTTTGCTCTGGGAGCTCGTCCAGCGTCTCCAAGGATGGTGATTCCTCACTGCCCCACGCAGGGCTGCACACCCCCCGTGTCCCATCTCTTTTCCCCCTGTCCCCTCAGGAATGCCGCCGATGCAGGTGCACCACGGGCCGCCCGGGATGGGCCAGCACCACCCGGGACCCCCGGGCTCTGGAGGGCAGCCACCCCCCCGGCCCCCCCCGGGAATGCCCCACCCAGGACCCCCCCCCATGGGGCTCCCACCCCGAGGGCCCCACTTCGGATCACCCATGGGTGAGTGGGTGGGATCTGCTCCCACGGGGATTTGGGGAACCCCCCGCGGGGCTTGGGAGGGAGGGGGGCACCTCCGGGGGGGTTTGGGGGGCACCCACTCTGGGGGGCTGGGGGAGTTTGAGGGGCACTGCTGGAGGGCTGGGGGGTGTTTGGGGGTCACTGCAGTGTCCCCCCCGGGGTGCTGACCCCCCTGTCTGTCCCACAGGTCACCCCGGGCCGCTGCCGCACCACGGGCTCCGCGGGCCCCCCCCGCTGATGCCGCCCCACGGCTACAACGGGCCCCCCCGGCCCCCCCCCTACGGATACCAGAGGGTCCCGCTGCCCCCACGGCCGGCCCAGAGACCCCCCGGGGTGCCCCCCCGCGGGCCCCTGCGGGGACCCCTGCCCTGAGAGGGGGGGGCAGCCCCCCCACCCCGCTCGGGACCCTCTGCCCTCCACCCTCCACCCTCCCTGGACCAACGTTCCCTCTCCTGGGGGGCACTGGGGGTGTCCCTCCCCTCTGTCCTTGCCCCCCACACCCTCCCCCCCCGTTTCTTTTTCCAGTGTTGTCGGTTTTCCTCTCTCTCCCTCCGCCTCCTCCCGGTTCCCTCTCCCTGGCAGCTTTTCCGAGCTCCTTTTTTACCACATTTGTGTGTTTTGTAGGGAAAGTG